ATGGGGTTGCCAAACTTCTAATGGCGTATGTAGAGCAGTAAGTCATTGATTGCGTGCCTCCTTGTTGGAGTACTTGCTATGGCTAATTCGCCTCCTCACGCCCTTTGGGCGTATCAAGACGTCGAATTATCATCGCAGAGCGACGAATGAAAGCCAATGACTAATACTTTTTATGTCAACCCACACATTTGCATTGGAGATAGTTAATGAAAGCTTGACCAGCTGACCAGCTGAACAGCTTCGACTATCATTCCCATACAGCGCAATCCTATTCTTCGTAGTCGGGGCCTGGAAGCCGAAAGCAAACTCGGAGTCGTCTGTATGAAATCTGTAGGTTTTCCGAGAAGATTCTAGTCATCAATTACCATTTTCGTCGATCGTTTGTTGGCCAAGCAGGACTCGAACGATTCTAGTCAATTCGACATCACAGATCTTACAGCGGAGACATCCTCAAGAAGTACACTAGGAATTATTAGACTCTTTCGAAATTCTATCGACTAAACACATTGTCTGCAAACGCAGATACGAGTCCCACGAACTACCTACTTCCCGTGAATGGTGTTGACTGTTCAATGCCATAGGTGTTGCCTACAGAGCAATATTCGGTGTAGGTATCCACTGTCTGAAATATACGTGATGATGCACAGGTCATTGAAGAAGCCATCTGCGTGCTTGCGATATTCGCCAATTTCATGCAGGTCCTTTGATCTCACTGCGGACTTAACGTAAGCACGCGGAAAAGACAGTTCTTCCAGAAGAATCAACAAATTCATACAAACATTTGCGGCTGGTAAGAGTAATCTCATCGTGTGTCTTGCATCGGTATTGAAAATGGGTCTTTTGAATAGGGGTTTGTCATGCTAGCCTCTCACCCGAGCTTGCCGACGCAAGATGATTCTAGATCTGAACTAACAAGAAGACCGGCCAGATGGAAACCACGGTTCTTTGTCGGCCAGCGAATGGAACTTCTAGGGGCATACGGCCCCCACGAGGCTTTGAGTATCTAGCTGAAAGTTTTCGTTCCTTCAAGACCAACCGGAATCTCCAAAGGCAAAATGTTGACCCCAGACTCAGCGGGAATGCCGGTAGCCTCCTTTTTGACCCGGGTTAAGCAATTAAGCATGATTATACGGTTAGTGGGGACTAATGAAAGTTATGGAAGGGCTTGGGGAACGTGCAGCTCAAACGACGGTGCCTGTTCCCCGTGCTGACCAGTGCGGCAGGCATCCAAATGGATTAGACAATTTCAATCTAAATACCAAGGGGCACTTCGTGATTCCAGTCTGTTCTCTGGTCGGTGAGTGTCCTGCGCCTGTAATCCAATCATTGGATTCCAATGAGCTTTGGCAACTCAATATACGAGATTCCAATGATGTGTCCTCCTCTACCGCCTGAAGGCGAATGGAGGCAAGTAGTGGTACAGTGGAGGCCACTATCACAGCATTGTTGGTTAGTTAGTTGTTGGCTTCATTCTTTGTCACGCCGTATACTGTGTTCAACAGCGAACCAGGTTGGTCACAGTGCTGTGGGCAATATTATTCGCCAGATGAGGTCAACCCCAAGGGCCCATACATAGTATACATATGCCCGGGGACACTGCCAGCCTATGTCAGCCTCAACAACAGCTAGCTGGTGCCCCGTCCCAGGAAATACTGTGACGTTGATCTACCCAGTGGACATTTATTTGGACCCACCAAATGGGCGAGGATGCATGTGTGCTCATTGGTTGGTTGACTAACAGAGGTCGATCTGTATATAAGCGAAATTATTTAGAATAGAAACAGGTTGTTGCTTCAGGTGGGCGACTAGCGAAGCGCGATCGCAATGGACACCAAACGATCAGTGGAACTCCCACCGGAATGAAGTTCTATACGCAAATTGGGCTTGCAATGACGCTTCCAGGATTAGTGACGGAAAGTAGGTATTGGGATGGCCGTCGAGGCTTGGCGTTGACCTGGAGGGCTGGCCATCTCACGATATAGATAATGCCCATCTCCCGCAGCTTTCCTAAGGAGTAGTCTATCTGTACATCAGTCAAAACCTAATCCAGCCTTTGCTTCTCCTACCAGTGGGTGTTCGAATCGCTTCTTTCTTTTACTATTGGATACTGCTATTCCAAAGTTCACTCATTATAATCCTTGGTTTACTAGCAAGCCAATCAAGATGCGTTTCGCCACCACTTTCACGTTCGCTACTACAGCCGCAGCTCTTGCTGTGCCCATCCCCGTCAAGAAGGAGGCCAGAGGATTGCTGTCCTACCCAACAGGTCTCCCAGTAGGTCTCCCTACTGGCGGCCCTACTGAGTTCCCGACGGCCAACCCTACCAACTGGATCCCGGCCAGAGACTACCCTGCTGCCTATCCTACACCGTCGTCTGAGTCTTCAGTTACGTCTCCTGCCCCGACTGCTTCGACTCCTACGACCTTGTTCACCCAGCCGTCTACCTTCTCGGAGACGCAGCCCTCGACTCCTAAGCCTTCATCGGCCTCCAAGGAGTCCCCGGCTCCCAGCGCCCCTGCTGCCGGCTACCCAACTGCCCCCGCTGGTGGTGACCAGACCTCGACCTCGACGGTGAAGCCTACACAGCCAGCTTCTACTTCGTCTGTGTCTCCTGAGCACTCGGAGACCCCTAAGGCTCCTGGTGGATACCCAACAGGCCCCGCTGGCGGTAACGGTGGCCATGGTGGCTCCGGAGAGTCCCCTGAGGCTAGCAAGCCCGCTCCCAGTGGCCCTGCCCCCAGCGCCCCTGCTGGTGGCGACACCGGCTTCCACTACCCCGTTGGCCCAACTCCCCCGGCTGCTCCGTCTTCCACGAGCACCGAGAAGCCAGTGACGGCTCCGGCTCCCAGCACCCCCGCTGCTCCCCACACCCCTGCCGCTCCCAGCACTACTCCCGCCCCTAGTGCTCCTGCTGGGTACCCAACTGCTCCCGCCGGTGGCAATGGTGGCCACGGTGGCTCTGGCGAGTCTCCCGAGTCCAGCAGCACTCCTTCCACCCCCAAGGCTCCCGCTCCCAGCGCACCTGCCCCGAGTGCCCCGGCTGGCTACCCATCCGGCGGCCACGGTGGCCACGGCGGTTCTGGCGAGTCCCCTGAGAAGAGCACCACGGCACCTAGCGCCCCGGCTCCCAGTGCCCCTGCTGCTGGATACCCAACTGCCCCTGGCGGTGGTGCCCCTGGTGCCCCCGGTGCTCCCGGTGCCCCCTCTTCCACGAGCACTGTGAAGCCCGTCTCCAGCCCGGCCCCGAGTGCGCCTGCCCCTAGCGCACCCGCCCCAAGTGCCCCAGCTGGTTACCCTGCCGCCCCTGGCGGTGGTAACGGTGGCCACGGTGGTTCTGGCGAGTCCCCTGAGAAGAGCACCCCAGCTGCCCCCGGCGCTCCCTCCACCCCCAAGGCCCCTGCTCCTAGCGCGCCCGCTCCCAGCGCCCCTGCTGGTGGCTACCCGACTGCCCCCGGCGGCGCTGCCCCCGGTGGTAACACTGGCTCCGGCGAGTCTCCCGAGAAGAGCTCCCCGGCCCCGGCCCCAAGCGCTCCCGCTGAGAGCACTGGCTTCCACTACCCGGCTGGCCCCACGACCACGCCTGCTGGTGGCAACAACTCCCCGGTTCCCAGCGCTCCGTCCTACGGAACTTACTGAGCTTTGAAATCGAAGCCACAAAAAACTTCAGAGACAGCCTTGGATTCGCGAGTCGCCAAGATGACGGGGTTCCTTCATTCACTTGTATGATTCATGCAAGGGACTAATGGACATCACGTCGTTACCGATCATTCAGGACTCTTCATTTCTTTTGTTTCGCTTCTCAGATAATGGGACCGGTCAGTGCGTGGACCGGTTCGAAACCTGAGTCTCGTGGGGAGGAGGAGGAGCTGAGAGACTGGGTTGACTACGATTGGAGCTAGCACGTCGAGGTGGCCGTGGCAAGCGTGGGTTTGGTGTTTGAGCTCTGAAGTATGTAGGAGTACTTGTTGCACTTACTCGTTTATAAATGCAAGATGCCTGTATGGTTGATCTCTGATAATAGCATGAACTGTGGCGTTCTCTACCTAATCTTTGTGAATCTGATCATCGTGAAGTCTCGTTCTCTATGTGCTGCATGTCGAGCACTGAATACTGCTCGTAATTATTCCGTCTCCCAGTATCATCTACTTGGACCTTGGGCTCTTTAGACTTTCGAAAGTCCATTCTAGAGCATGAGGAATCTAGTGGGGTCGAATTTACTTCAACAAAATGATGCAGATCTTTTTTTATGTAAGAATTTACGCAGGTGATAGGGGGTGATGAACCTAACTAGTCGAAATGAGTTTCTTTTTTATGGAGTTTGTAGTCGCAAGATCACATGACTTAAGAGAGGTCCGGTACTACCACTTCAACGACTCCTACCGTGAAAGTAGGTTGAATTCAGTAAATACGTCCGACGGGATGATCTGAGCTGTCATTCTAAGCCTAATATCTCTAGTCTAGCAATGACTACGTGTACTGAGCTATTTCTCTAGAGTAGATCTAGTTTCCTTTCAACATGATGTCACCGTAAATGTCTGACAAATTGCAACCTGATAGAAGCACTAAGTTCGCAGGCTATGTCGCTCATTTACATCTCGATGAAGAGTCAAAACTCAACTAGATTGAGAACTAAAGTCAATAGTGCATCACTCAATAGCACGACATTAAACAGGATGCCGATAACGCCGGACACAGTGAAGTTCTTCTGTCATATACTCTAACTATACCTACTAACTACCATCGATCCTGTTAAAAGGTCGTTCAATCATTGACAGTCTGGCAGTAACGTATACAAACATGATATAGTATTAATAGCCTCTCTCACAATTATATACAAATAGCAACTAAGTCTATATAAAATCAATGGGTAAAAGCTTAGTTGTCAAACTACTCTATAAAAAGAGGACCGTGCCAGTCTTAAACCGGCGACTTACGATGTCTAGGCCGATCATATCGGGACGACCACCACGTCCATCTCGATCCTCGTATGTAGAGATTGATGACCACCCTGGGGCTCGAACCCAGAATCTCCTGATTACTTCTCGGATCCGTTTAAGCGGATTCGGTCGTAGTCAGACGCCTTACCATTGGGCCAAGCGGCCGGTGAATGCTCTATGTGGGTCATGTGACCAGTGTTAGAACCGGCTCGTCGACGGGCTTGATATGTCTGCTATTCCCACATACAGAGAAGGTGGGTTACTAAGCGCTTAACTAAAGTCTAGTGCTTCAAAGCCATCGAGTAGTTCTTGTTCCAAACCCAGCTACACTTAAGAGATCTCCGCCTATCAAGATATACTCGTCACGGTCAAGATGTTTATACATGTATTAGTATGTTAAGGGGCAGTTCCTATGTGCAAGTATCAGCGATTACAAGTAGTACTTATATGATGGATATTTGTATATAGTGATGGCTTCTTTAGGGCGTCATTGGTTTAGGTAAAGGGCTATTATAGTATGGAATTAGAGTTAGATGAGAAGACAGACCTTAGTTACTAGACCTACCTTTCTCTCATGTCATATAGTACTCGTGCCAAGGCATATACCTCGACATATCATGATATGTGTAGAAAAAGGATGAATACCATACTTTGAAGTCGCCTTATTGAACTATAGTTAGTTAGACTGAACACACATATATGTAGCTAAAAATCTGCTAAGTAGCTTGAAGATTATTACTTGCGTAGACCAATGATTCTTTTTGGATACTGTTACAAGACTTAAGAGTTGGGTCAAGAGCCCTATTGCTCGTAATATGGAGTTCTTAATGCGCTCTGATGTACTAAACTATGACTGCGAGATTCTCGATAGAGAGACCAAAACGTAGGAATGTGCATATCAAAGTTGCCGACTGGTATATAAGCTTCTTATACTCTAGTGAAGGTTTGAGGATCTGAAAACGGCGTACTCCATGTTAAATACTAAATATGTACCTAGGTACATACGCTGTGTGTGTGTGTGTGTTCAGATGGCAGCCAGCCGGCGTGAAGCCCCTCCCGCATCACAATGTCGATTTGAATATGAGGCCTGCCAGGTGCAAGCATATGTTACATAATCAGTGCTTTACTAGAAATAGCGCTGGCCGGTAACCGCACTACTGAAACCTACAAGTACAATATCATAAGAATATGGGATGAATTGTATCGATAATAGATAAGTCTTATCTAGATGCCGGGTGACTGCCGTGACTTCCCTTTGTTTGTTCACCACGTGGCTGGCATATGCCAAAACATTTCTACAGGTTCTTGCCGTTTGTGGGAGTGGTTCATACCCAAACACTCAAATCGAGTTCACTCTTCCACTGCCTACACTGCACTAGACTGTAGTTGTGTGCTTGACTACATTCAATCCTGCCCCAGACAATATTGAGTCGCTTGGCTAAGGTTCTTAGCTCTCTGTCGTCGGTCTGCCATAACTACCGCCAGAATGTCTCTCGGATGGTACCTTGCCCAGGGCTTGTACCCGCTTGGCCCATCCAGCAGCGATGAGGAAGAAGGTCCCTGCGAGTTGCCCGACGGCAAACTCGTCTGCGGTCCGCACGGCCTTGTCATCTGTGGAAAATGTTGCACGGATTACAGTTTCATGGATGAGGATGAGGATGAGGATGATGACGACTTCATCAACGAATCCGTGACTGGTAGCGGCTCCATCAAGGTGATGAATGCAGCCGACTATGTACCACCCTCTCCGGATTTAATGTATGGCGACGAAAAGAGAAGAGGCACTGGCAAAGTCTTCCCTACCAAGTTCACTCCTCCGAACCGTTCAATCCTTCCAACAGAGCTATTTCGCGGCCAGAGAACTTATGCCAAACTGACCAGGTAAGAACACCCCGGAGAAAAAACTGGCTTGTTTAGAACAACCTGCCCCCTAGATCAGAATCGTTAACATGCATTGTTAGATACATCCACCGTGATGACCCCCGGGCGATTCTCATCTTCACTGATGGCGCATGCTTGAACAATGGCCAGCCAAATCCCAAAGCCGGCTGGGCGTTCGTCGATGGACCCGGACTCAAGGGCAAGCCGAGTACTGCATCTTTTCGACTCGAGAGCAAGGGGCCTTTTGGCGACGAGGGCATTCAGAGCAGCAATAGAGCCGAGCTCCGTGCTGTTATTGCGGCTCTGCGCTTCCGACACTGGCCTGGCGAAGGTTTCACCAGCATAACCTTTGCCACCGACTCGGAGTATGTAGTTGAGGGATCTACAAAGTGGGCGAAGACATGGGTTAAGAACGGTTGGAAGACGAGCGCACAAGCGGACGTCAAAAACAAAGACCTGTGGGAAATGCTTCTGGGCGAAGCTGAGAGATGGAACGATAAAGGACTCTCTATTCGGTTCTGGAGAATCCCAAGAGGTTGGAATGAGACTGCGGATGCAGCTGCCAAGAAGGCCGCTTCAGAGGATGAAGTGGACGATGAGTGGATCGATATGATGGGTATGTGTGTTTAGCATACGTTGTTCTCAAGTGGAACAGATACATATGATGTGATGAAGCTAGCCTAGATCAACTGAGCCGCAAGATATGGACATGGTGCCATCCAGAAACTACCTTTTCTGATTCTTAGCTTTACAACGTGCAGTTTGTTTGTACTTGTGAATAATATTGGCCCGACATACTGTTAATCTGGTTGGTGATACAATATCTTTTCATTGTCTCACACAATTCTAATTATCTTAACATGCTTCATCACACCATCTCAATGATATATCATTTATGATGAAGATAACTACCAGTTGAAGCATCTAAGTAACTAATAGAGACCGGTGTCAGTGAAGTTGTCAAGCCCTTGTGAGGACATAAACTACCTATCATAGTAGTTCTGGCCGAGGATTTGATCGAAAACTTCTAACGTAGGAGTGATTACAACTGGAAGGGACAGACGAAGAAGCCTCAACCTCGTCAGCGTTACCGCGTCTCTACCCCCTTGGTTTGCTCCTTTGAAACCCACAACTACCAATTTACTTCGGACATTTACTTATCCCCTTGACCATGCCACCGGCGTTGATATTTTAAGTATTATTCCCTAGACTACGGTTGCACGAGCTTATAGTACTCAACCGGCAACGCGTTATATTAGAGAGGTCCTGGGACCTAACTAGCACATTCGCTGTCTCCCAACGCAAAATTTGCATCCTGTCTTTCCAATCCAATATCATACTAGCAGCAGCCATAACCCAAACCTGATGTAGCTTATTGAAACAAACCCCAACACCTTACTGAAAGATCACCATAACGTTCAAACCTTACCTTTCCGAGTCTCAAGCAATTGAGCCGCAATCTATTTAAGGAGTAAGGGAAAGGGAGGGTCAGATGGCATCCATAATTCTTCATAGAGATTGCGACGGTGTTGGAATCCTTGATATGCGTCGTTCGGATGGAATTAGTGGAAGGCATGTTGGCCTGAATATCCCTACATAAAACCCAATGTTGATAGGTACTTTGCCACTCGTTAGCCAAATCCACGGGAACACCATCCTTATTTTCTGGTGTGCTATGCTGCGCCGTACTGAGTGCCAGTGAAGAAACTAAGGTAGATACCATTCCACATTCTAGTGACCAAAATGAAGTATAATTACAATCCTATTTAGTCTAGAATATATCCAAGTTGGCATGAAAGGGAGCTGAGACTATCTCCTGCAATCTATAGAACCTTGTCATTCGAGAGGTATGTACAAGATGTTGCCAAACATTTTAGACATAGGGGAATAATAGGGGAATAATCACTAAAGCGGTGACTATGAGACTGGGAAGAAATGATGATATTGTTGTAGTGAAATCTATTAGCAAGATATGACAATAGGCATACTCTCGTTGAAAAAAGTTGAGTGATAGTACAATCTCGAGTATGCGGTAAAGGATCAGGCACCGGTTCCCAGTCAACGAAGCACATTGAAACCACCCGCTCAAGGGATCCTGCCGACGCCACATGAGGCAAGTCCGAAAAAGACTGCCCCGCAACATCGGCTTTTAAAAAAGTATAATTGTATACGAATACGATAACGACGGCTTGAAATACCATGCCTACATTTGTGTTACAGAAACCAGAGAGCGCACTCCCAACATCCCCGGACGGGGCGCTTGATTGGAACCCTCCGGCTCCTTGCTTGTGTCACGAATCCGAGTGCAATTCGTACTCGGTTCGTGCTACCAGCTAGATGCGCCCTTGCCTCCTGTGCCGCAGCTTAAATACCGGAGCATTTCCCGGAGCGGTCAGATTGCATTCTTCAAGATGGTCTTTGAGAGTACCATACAGCTTGAAGACCGATACCTGAGATATCAGGCGGAGACAGAACCGTAGGTATGGCAGACACGCTGCAAGGGACCACCGTCCTCGTGACCGGCGGCGCCGGGGGCCTAGGCAAGGCGATAGCGACGGGGTATCTGGACGCGGGCGCCAACGTGGCGATCTGCGATATCCACGAGGAGCGGCTGGCGCAGACGCGGAGCGAGTTCGAGGAGACGGGGCGGTTCCTCGCCGTTTACACGGATATCACGGACGAGGCGGCGGTGGAGAAGCTCGTCGACGCCGTCGTGGGCCGGTTCGGACGCCTGGATATCCTCGTCAACAACGCCGGCATGGCGGATACCTTCGACCCCGTGGGCTCGACCAGCAAGGCGCAATGGGACCGCGTTATCGGCCTGAACCTGACGGGGTCTTTCTTGGCTACGAAAGCTGCGGTGAACGCGATGGAAAACCAGGCGCCGTCTGGGGGCACCATCATCCAGATTGGGTCTACGTCGAGCTCACGGGGCACCGCTGCGGGGTTGGCTTATACGGTCAGTTCGGATTTCATGGTTTTCCCCAGACCTCTTCGTACGGCCTTGGGCCACAAGCAGGACCATAAGCCTCTGCGTGAGGATCGCCTGTGGTCTCTATTGACTTGCCAACTAATTGTGAGCGCCACAGGTCAGCAAACACGGCGTAGCGGGCTTGGTGAAGAATACAGCAGGCTTCTATGGATTGAAAGGCATCTACGCAATCGGACTCATGCTCGGCGCCATGACCGATACGAACATCGCCGAAGGAAGTCAAGCGTTGGGAGGTTTCAACCAGGCCACTATGGCAGAGTCGATCACAGCTACGTTCAAGCTCGAGGCGGCA